GTGTGTGTGTGTGTGTGTGTGTGTGTGTGTGTGTGTGTGTGTGTGTGTAGGGGCAGGATGTGTGCTCTTTGGTTTTTACCAAAAATCAAAAGTTTAATCAGCTTCATTAATCAAGCCTATACAAGCATTTTCTTGCCTCCTGTCATGACTCAGAGCCTTCAGATGCTCTCTTCATTTTACCCCCGCTGTTCTGCTTGAGGCTTTGTTTTATTTGACCTGCTGAAGCTGATCAGCAGCTCAACCTGTTGTCACCGGTCTCTCAACAGGCTGGATTATAAATGATTTCACTGAAATCCCTGCTGCTGACAAATGACAGGAGGATACCAGTTGCTGCTGCTGCAGTAGTTTGAGTATAAAGACAACAAATGCGTGTTTTTTTTTTTTATTTCTTGAGCTATAATTCTGAAAAGATTCACTGAACACAACACTTTAAATTAAACTGATGGGCCTTAAAACACACTGGGTTGTTTCTGCCATGATGTTAGCCTTTATGAGCTCCCGGTTTCCCCAGAGGCCCTCAGACTTTGCTCTAACAAAGCTGTTGATTCAATGAGGGCAGGACTTTTCTTAATCTTACCTCTGGGTGGTTGTTATTGAAACAATGGCTCCTTATTATGTTTGTTAAAGAAAGAGTTAGAGCGTTGTGCATTCTCCATGATGCTGGCAGTGGAAAGCAAGAAGTGGATGTTTTGAAATCCAAATTGGTCATGATATACTGTATATACATCCTTTGGTATTAAAAGGTTAAGAATCATAAATTGAAACCTTTGAAATGCCCTCTGATTCTGATTTAATGCTATTAAATAAAATATAATGAATAAATTTTACCTGTGGAAGTGTGACATTCTGAAATGCTCTCATATCTCTCTTCTCTTCATGGAGTAATTATATTCAGAGTCACAACATTCACCGCCTTGAACCGCTTCATGATGAGGCAACAGAAAATAAAAACAGACATGGATCAAGAAGAAACAAATTTTTTGAATCGTGTCGACACTGAAGATGTCTGACTAATTTCTGAGAGATTCGTGAAAATCTCTTCGGTGGTGGAGATATTTTGCTAAGAGACAAAAACATCATCGCTGTTCAGCCTTTGGTGGCAGGTGATGAATACTGCTGATTGTATTTTGCAGCTCAGATCAGACAGACTGAACACTGAATCAGTATCACGGTTTATAAACGGAGCATGATGCCTTCAGGATCTGTCAACTCTGACAAAATACATCTTTAGTCCAGTGGTGGTGGACAGTCCTGGTCCTGCAGGTTTTACTTGTTTCTCTGCTGCAACACACATAATTTGAATAACTGAGTGATTTACAGGCTTCTGCAGGAGTTGAAGAGGTGATTCAGTGACTGAACTGGGGGTGAGGCTGAAGTCTGTGTCTGCTTCCTCCTCAGATGTACATTCAGACGGCCACTCTGACCGTCTCCCTCAGCCTCAGCGCCTCCGTCTCTCTGGGCATGCTCTACGTGCCGAAGGTCTACATCATCATCTTCCACCCGGAGCAGAACGTTCCCAAACGCAAGCGCAGCTTCAAAGCCATCGTGACCGCCGCCACCATGACCACCAAGCTGTCGCATCTGGCAGCCGAGCGCCCCAACGGCGAAGTGAAGACAGAACTCCGCGAGGGCGTTGAAGCTAGCGGTGAGCTGATCACACAGGTTTGATGGTTCATGTCTTGGCTTGTTGATTATCCTCTTCAGTACTTCCAGTGTTCAACATTTAGAATGATGGAAATGTCCAACTGTGTCAAACAACAGAGGATTTATGTTCTGGTTGTGTGAGAAAGAAATATTTTACATCCAAAGATGGTTTAGAGCAGCTGCCTGATAGTGGACATGTTGCACTCTTTTTTTAACTATCTTCTGCTACTTCAGTTAGTATCTCTGCTGTTGGTATCACTGTTAGTGACTCCAAATTGTTAGAAAATGATGAGAAACAAGGTGAATACTTGCTTGCAGTCTCACTAGACTGTGAATGAGCTGCATGTCTGCCCTTTTAACAGACATATTTTAAAGTAAACAACCTAGTTCAGGGGTTTTCAAAGTATACGAGCGTAAGCCCCCCTGAGATAGCAAACAAACAATAACGCCCATCTACCCAAAATAAATGTTTACAGGTCCTTCTCAAAAAATTAGCATATTGTGATAAAGTTCATTATTTTCTGTAATGTACTGATAAACATTAAAC